CTCTCCCAGGATCAGTAAACAGTCCTCCATAAAATGTGCCGACGATCCACAGCACTACGTTGAAGTATTTCCTCAGCGACCAGCACGGATCAGCTCTAGGCATGACGAAGCAGATATCGTCCTCTTTTGGAAGACCAAACAAAGTAGTTTCGCTTTCACAACGAAGCACACAGCGTCTTCACGACATGGCGGCAACAATACTACAGCGAGAATAAAAGTTACGCCTTCTTTCTTTGCGTGAACATTTGGGCGGCATTATGTAAATCTTCCCACATAGTGAGGTAGATATGTGGGGGCGTGTTAGAACGAGCCGTTTTAGGTAGGCGTGGCTGACTCTTAACTTTTATAAAGAATATCTCTTTGGATTTGAGACTTTAGTCTTTGCAACTTTACAGATCTTCTTTATGCACCAAGAGCTTGTAACACTCCAAAGAGAAAGGAAAAAATGAAATCGCATCATATGACCCCTTTAAAACCTGTATGCTTTTTTTCTTTGGAATATAAAAGGAGAAATTTATAAAAATGTATCCATACAGAAAGTGTTCATAATGTCTCAGAGGTCGCTAATACCAATTAAACTGATTATTTTAAAATCAATAGTATGAACAAAAACTTTTCACTTGATGTAAAATAGTGCTGAATGCCATTAGAAATGTATAATAATGACTTTACCATGAGAGAATTTTGTAATTATAATAATAATGAAAAAATATATAATACATAAAAACAGCTTAATCACTAATGGTTACTTTATTATTATGAAATAATAATATTAAATAATGTACAAGAAAGGGAGAGAGGAAAAAGGGATAGAAGTAAAATCAACTTAATTTCTTATGTAATTTTCAAAAAGCACTGCATATATTATATATCCACATCCCCACATGTTTCAGATGTATATATTGTACGTTTCTTTTGCACATAACTATTTCATAACATTTATTTAGTAAGAACAGAGAAATGTTTGGAAAAATATAAAACAAAAAACAGGCTATTCCTTTGCACTCGTTGCGCTTTTTATGCAGTATGTGCACGGTATGTCTTCTGAAACAAGTAATCGGATGATCAAAGATGGTTGGTATTAACTTGATATTAAGAACGTGTTGCAACAAACTCCATGTGGAGTCCGTTACCCATTACATTTACGTTGGGAAAGCTATTCAAAGCACATAGCTTGTTCGTTAGTCAACAACAAAATAATAACACTAGAGAGGTGCTTTTTTGCTTAAAGCTGCCGTCCGTAACTTTTTTTTGGTTAAAAATGATCCGAAATCAATATTTGAGAAAGTACATGACCAGCCAATGTTCAAAACTATCGCCTTACTTTAGTCCGATTCACAATGGTAAGCTTATAATAATTTGAGTGGTACGGATAGGTTTTCGCGGGAAATTCGAGCATGGCACTGCGTCATTACGTCACGTCTGTATATAACATAAAGAAGTTGTCCCGGGCTAGTAGGCTATCGCATGTGTGGATCCTGCAGGTGGCGCATCGTTTATAGCCTTTTCTCACAGCAGCTAGAATAATTCATTTTATCATTTGGATGGCGTATTGTACTCCAGAAAGGATTATGTGTTTATGAAATGCATGTGAATGAAATGAAATTATATTCCAGGTTTAAATGTGCATCTGATTACAGATAGCCTGGGATTACACAAGATCTGTATTTTAAAGACAACCAGTTCGAAGGGCGCATAATTTGCTTTTTGGGTTAAAAGAATTTCTTAATATGAAATTCGAATGGTATGAAAATTAGGGATTAGACTATACAGAAACTGAAATCACACGCTAATACACACTATACTCATAGTCACGCAATGCTGATGTTAACATTAATAATTTGAGAACAAAGTATAACAATAATAATAATTTGCACAGTTTGATGTGATATAAGCTAACCGATCACTACACTTAATCACCATTGGTAGCACGATTTATTGTAATCCTTTTTTCCTCAGTTGGTCAGAACAAACGTGGCAGACTTGTTACTTACTTGTTTAGATGACAGCATACGGGGAAAATTCTTATTTGGGTCATATATTCCAATATGTAGGCTAGAATCTGTGATTGCGAAGTACAGTAAATATCCACACCGGTGCGGTGACTGACTGCCACACGTTCACCTCAAAACATTAGATTCATCCGCGCTGTAGCACAACCCCACGCATGGAATATAATTCGGCACACAGCTGCAATTGCAGGTTTTCAAACAGAGATGGCAACAAAGAGGCAAAACTTGCGGACTGCAGCTTTAATGCACTATTTCAGTTGTTTTTCAAAGCGCTTCAGTTGTCCTTGAGTGCGAGACTGAGAGCCAGGCGTTTTAGAGATGGCAACAAAGAGGCAAAACTTACGGACTGCAGCTTTAATGCACTATTTCAGTTGTTTTTCAAAGCGCTTCAGTTGTCCTTGAGTGCGAGACTGAGAGCCAGGCGTTTGCCTTTGTGTAAGAGGTGCTGTTGCTGTCTCAGCGAGCAGAGACCTCTGACATTTGCAGAGTAAGTCTGTGCATTTAAAGGCTGGACTGCAAAATGTAAGCTTGTTTGTAATTAGCTCAGACTGTCCTTTTAAGGCACAGACAGACCTTGGAGCTAATAGGACATGTCTAAGTTAAATAGGGTTGGGTACCGAAACCCGGTACCAATATGGCACCGGTACCTATGTAACCGGTATGTACTAGAACTGAATCAGAACGCAAATTTCGGTGCCATGCCTGAGCAATCGATTGAAATATTTGTCCTCTGGTTCAACGAAACAGATGTAAGAAGCATCATCACTGGCACCGCATGTGAAAAATAATTTCCGAATGCACCTGAACTCAAGTCGGAAAGCTCTAATGATACAATAGGGTTGGGTACCGAAACCCGGTACCAATATGGCACCGGTACCTATGTAACCGGTATGTACTAGAACCGAATCAGGACGCAAATTTCGGTGCCATGCCTGAGCAATCGATTGAAATATTTTTCCTCTGGTTCAACGAAACAGATGTAAGAAGCATCATCACTGGCACCGCACGTGAAAAATAATTTCCGAATGCACCTGAACTCAA